TTACCCGAGGCCTTTTCCATGAACTGCTCGATAGTGTTGAATTTCTGAGCACTAGAACTGGCGAGAGAACCCACCAAGTCCGGTAGTTCAGCCATCAGATCATTCTGCACTGGGGTGGCAGGGTCTGCACCTGGCTGCTAGAAAGGTCGCGGTTGTGATTGAGCAGCATGCCCCTGCATGGGTCGGTAGAGAGACTGCTGCTGCTGCTGGAACTGCCCATGTCTGGGCTGATATGGCGGCCTCTGGAAGCCAGGTGGTCCCTGGGGGACTGGTGGTCTGGAATTTTCCCCCACCCTAGGAGAAGTTGGGATGCTGGCGCCACCCCCTTGTTGTAGGTGTTGCTGTAGGGGTCGAAGCGCCTGGCATTGCAGATGAAGTCCAGCTGCTCCTGGGGAGTAGAAGACTCCCTCATCGCCTGGAAATCCTCCACGGTGTGATGAGAACTCTCACACCACTGGCAGAGCATCGTCTGCTGCTGTCTGGTACCTGCAATCGTCCCGGAACGATCGATAGCTTAAACCAGCTTCGATACCGCCTGCACCAGATCAGATGACTGGGTGGATACAGCATGCACACCCCGTCCTGGTGCTCGTCTTGATCTCCTCGCAGTTCCCCAGTCATAGCCCTGCTCTACCATCTCCTCAAAAAGTTGATTCAGTTGGGGCGGTGTTTTGGTGAGCATATTCCCGCCACAGACCGAATCAATAAGCTCATTTTCCTCCGGGAAGAGGGCATGGTAGAAGGTTCCCACCTTGAAGGCGTCAGTAAAACCATGGTTGGGACACTTGAGGAAGAGACTGGTGTATCTCTCCCAAGCGTCCCGGATGGTCTCGTCTTCATCCTGAGCAAAATGGGTAATCTGCTTCTGCAGGTCCGGCGTCTTGGACGGAGGATGGTAGCGGGTGAGGAACTTGTCCGCTAGGTTGGCGAACGTGGTGATAGAGCATGGAGGTCGAGTGTCTAGCCACTCCTTGGCCTGCCCTTCCAGAGTAAACGGGAAGTACCTCAGCTGGATAGCATCTGCTGGGACCCCATTTATCTTGATTCCGTCGATGAGCTCGTGGAATCGCCTGAGATGTGATCGGGGGCACTCTCCCTCTTTGACACGGAACACCACTGAACCGCGTAGCATTGTGATGACAGAGGTGCTCACCTCAAAGTTATTTGCTGGCACATGAGGGTGTTGAATGGGCGACCTCATGTCCACGGCCCTGGCGGTCCAGTAGTATCCCATGGTCTGCTCCTCGGGAAAGACCACATCATGGTCCTGTGGATCACCCATCTCTTCTTCTTCGGCGATCTGCAGCTGTACTAGCTCCTCCTCCGCAGCCAGTCGCGCCTTTAGAGCCCGCTTGAAGTTCCTGCAGGTTCGTTCAAGCTCCTGGTCTAATGGTAGTAGATCTCCCGACTGGCTACGGGTCATGCACTACCTGCACACAATCAGTAGAAACAACCCGTGAAGGCACACACGTATAAGAGATAAAATGCAATAAAGAAAAAGCTAGAGTAACAAATTTTCACGTTTCCCATATAACCTAGAGTGTCCCCGGCAACGGCGCCAAAAACTTGACACGCTAAAACACAACACCAAACTGCGACCAAGTGTAATCGCAGAATGGGACTGCAGTAAAGTGGCAAGTTCTAAATATCAACCCGGGGTCTAGATCTATTGCCTACTCCGTGATTATCTATTATCTAGCCAGCTAAGTCGATTAATTGTTGTTTTAACTAAAAGCAGAAAGAAAGCAGGAATTGGTTCGGTTTTCTCAAGCAAAGGAAGAGTCACTCGTGAATGAGTCCCCCTAGCTCCTTAGTTAGGTCCCAATTGTAATTACACTGGGTTGATTTACTGTTGATTAAACTGCGGAAGATCCGACAGTAGCTTGGAATCTCTTAAGCTGACCAAGCCCTCTCAGTCTAACTACCCGGTAGACGACTAGTCTTCACCGGGATAGAAAGCTGGAGCAATAAGCACAGAACTCCACTACTGGAATTGGATTCTAGTACAAAGCAGTAGACTGACTAACTCTTGTATAGCCAATCTACTACTACCGAATGAAGAAGCTCTAACAACCTAATCAGATTCTATCCATCTCAGGTTGCAGCAGAAATCAAGAAACGCTGATCAGACTTCAATTAATTCAATGAAACATGCATCATTCGATTAAAACCAAACAGTATAATCATCCCAAGTCATTAGAATCATGATCCCTAACACATGGAACTAGGGTTCTTCATACCCAAGTGAGAGAAGGGTTCTACTCCATATATAGAGAGAGGAAGATAGAAATCAGAGTAGTCATACTCATAAAGATGAGGAAAATCTGCTCTAGGATGTCAATCTTCACTCCTGGGGACGCAATCTGGGCTTCAATGGTGAGAAATCTACTCCAAATAGCTCCTAGGGTTTGTTCTTCGCCCTTTCTCTCTCTAAAACTCTGTTTTTGCTCTGAAAAGTCGATTCTCTCACTTGTGGCTCGAAATTGGGTTAAAACCAGAATTCCCGACTCACACGGGCAGGCAACACGGCCGTGTGGCTTACCCAGATGCCCGTGTGAGAGTCAAAACGTGGAGTTTCGAATAATTGGACTTTAGGCTACCTACACGGCCAGGGACACACGGCCGTGTAGGATCTCCAGTCTGCCCGTGTGAAGGCTCGCACAATCCCACACGGCCACATTGGTTCCTGACACGGCCGAGTGGGTTTTATGTGTGCCCGTGTGGCTTCCTCAGCGACTCGCCACACGTCTGATCTTCGTCCAATTGACCCCGAACTCGCTCCCAAACCTTCATTCACGTACTAGGACCTAAAATATCACAAACAAGCACAACCTAGTGTGAAATTGGCATAAAACACGAGAATCAACATCTCAAACGGCTCAGGAATAGGGGTAAAAACATGTGTAATTAACGGTTTATCAGATATATACACATGTTTTTGTCCACCATTCTTACACCGTTTGAGTCTTATTTCTCGTGTTTTAGGCCGATTTCACGCTAGGTTGTTCTTGTTTGTGATATTTCAGGTCCTAGTACGTGAATGAAGGTTTGGGAACGAGTTCGGGTAGATTGGACGAAGATTGGACGTTTGGCGAGAAGCTGAGTAAGCCACACGGGCACGCCTAAAAACCCACACGATTGTGTGACCTCGCCGTGTGGCACCAAATTGCACGGGCAAGCCACACTGGACGTGTAAGGGACCCCTTGTGGCCGTGTGGAAAGTCCAGGGAGCTCACACGGGCAGCCTGGGAATCCACACGGCCGTGTGGTTTTGGCCGTGTAGCGTACCCGAAGCCACTTAAGTGAAACACGGCGTTTTGCACACTCACACGGGCAGCTGGGAAAGTCACACGGCTGTGTGGCCTGGCCGTGTGGTCGGGAATTTCTGGGTGTTAACCCAATTTCGAGCCAAAGGAGAGGGAATCAACTTTTTGGAGCAAAAACAGAGCCCTGGAGAGAGAAAGTGCGAAGAACACCCCCTAAGAGTGGTTTTGGAGCTGGGTTTCATCAATGAAGCTTGAAAATCATCCTTGGAGTGAAGATCTTCATCCCAGAGCATATTCTTCCAATTGTTATGAGTATGACTGCTTTGTATTCTGTTTCCCTCCCTCTCTCTATGGAGTAGAACTTTCTCTCACTAGGGGTATGAAGAACCCTAGTTCCATGTGTTAGGGATCTTGATTGTAATGACTTGGAATTGTTATACTGTTTGGTTTTAATCGAATGATGCATGATTCATTGAATCAATTGAAGTCTGATCATCTTTTCTTGATTTCTGCTGCAACCTAAGATAGATAGAATCTGATTAGGTTGTTAGAGCTTCATCATTCGGTAATGGTAGATTGGTTATACGAGAGTTAATCAATCTACTACTTTGTACTGGAACCCAATTCCAGTAGTGGAGTTCTGTGCTTATTGCCTCAGCAGTCTATCCCGGTGAAGGTAGTCGTCTGCCGGTTAGCCTGCCTGAGAGGGCTTGGTCAGCTTAAGAGATTCCAAGCTACTGTCGAATCTTCCGCAATTTAATCAACAGTAAATCAACGCAGGGTAATTACAATTGAGACCTAACTAAGGAGCTAGGGGGACTCATTCCTGAGTGACTCTTCCTTTGCTTTAGAAAACCGAACCATTTCCTGCTTTCATACTGCTTTTAGTTAAAACCACAAGCAATCGACTTAGTTTGCTAGATAACAAATATACACGGAGTAGGCAGTAGATCTAGACCCCGGGTTGACAATTAGAGCTTGCTTGTTACTGCATTTCCGGACTGCGATTACACTTGATCGCAGTTTGGTGTTGTGTTTTAGCGTGTCATCTCTTCTTCAATCTGGAGATCAATAGATCCAAATCCCTTTAAGTAGCACTTACTGATGAAAGCTCATTTATATCACCCTATTTTTTTTTAAGGGTATGAAATTGAACAATAACAATGACTCTAGACCTGGTAATCGGGTCGGGTTGGGTAAGTTCGGGTTGGAGACTTCAGTTACGGGTCGGGTCATGTTTGGTTGGCTGATTTCGGGTAAAATATTGACCCAACCCATTTGGTTTCGGTTCGGCTTACGAGCGTTCTCAGAAACAATATCAAACATGCTTCATATTTTCTTAAAGAACACAAATTTTCACATATGCGTGACAATAGTTTACCTAACACATGTCAATTAACATATTCTCAAATCCTCCCACGCTAATGAAATGAAATATAAATTGCGCAAATCTTCAAAAAACAATCACAAGAGTAATACTACTACAAGAAACTAGGGCTGGAGGTTCGGTTATGGGTTGCCAGTTAACCGGTCAGTTAAACCGATAACCGGCGGTTACCGGTCAACCGACTAACCAAAATTAAATGGCGCGGGCGGTGTTCGATAGTGATGTTGGTGAGGCCGGTTAACCGGCTAACCGACCGTCATAACTGCGGTTAAACCGACTAACCGGCTCATAAATAACCTCCTAAAAACGACGTCGGATTCCACGTTTCACACCCTAACCCTAACGGCCTAACCTAATCGATCCGACAGCCATTCCACTCCACCCCTTGTCCCCTTCCTTTTGCTCTGCATCGCGACGAGACGACGAGAGTCAAGACCTCTGACTCTCCCTGCCGCCGCCCTGACTACGCCTGCCGCCATCTCCCTCCCCGACGCCAGCCGCTCTCCGGCCTCCGGCATCGCCCTCCACAATGCCGCGCTCTCCGCCATCCCCCTATCGCCGCCTGCCGACTGTAAAATGAAAAAGGAAGAAGAAAAATAGGGTTCGTGGAGTTTGGGAAAAGCAGATAAAGAGAACGAGAGGAAAGGGAAGACAGATCTTTGATCTGTTCTTTTGTCCTCGCTTTCTTTGTTTTCAAAGCTGGGCCCAAACACTAGCAAAAGTCCACAGCTAAAGCAAAATAAAAAGAAGACAAATAAATATTTAACGACCGGTTAACCAAGCAACTAACCGATAACCGATCGGTTGGTTGCCGGCTAACCGATGGTTTTCGTCGGGCGGTTGGCGGTAGTCGATAGTAGCGTCGCGGTTAACCGCTAACTGACATTTCGGTTATCAGTTATAACCGATCTAACCGAAAATCCAGCCCTACAAGAAACACATAATATTTGATTATCCTTAAACTCCAAACATGTCATTCAAATCCTTGTAATTTTTTAAAACATCTCACCAATTTATGAGTGATTTTATCATATTTTGGGAGTGATATATGAAATGGAACGGGTCTAAAAGGTCGACCCGCTAACCCACCCAACCCGACCCAAAAAATCACGGGTTATCGGGTTCGGGTCATTCGGATTTCGGGTTACAAAAATTTCTAGTTTTCGGGCAGTTTCGGGTCGGGTAAGCGGGTCGGGTTATAATTTGTCGAGAATCAACATACACACTGCCAGAGAGTTGACACCAAGACTCAAGCAAAAACGTGAAAGGTAGAAACTCAACCAACCAATCCCAAAAGAAATAACAACACTCAGCCCCACAACCAAGGTGCTCAATCAGTGGGTCGATCCGTCAGTTCACCCACTTTGACCCTGACCCGATAATAAAAATGGGCCGCTACAACAAGGTACCAGATTGAGGTCAAATTATGTCATTTTTTCTTTTAGTTTGCGAAAAAGCGCCTATTTTCTGATTCTTCTTTTCGTCTAACTCAATCTTTGAAATACTAAATTGAACGGATGTTATATAAGTGTGTGTGAATTTTCACTATATGTTGAATCTAAGTAAAACACGTTATTTTAGTGTAATATTATATGTTATTACTTATTACTCGTATATTAGATGAGATTTTATATAATTTATAAATTTATAAACAATATAATGATTTTTTCATATTTATAGGCTAAAACGGTCGGACAATTAACCCTCAACTCACTTATTCGACCGAACCAACGGATTAAACCGGATTGACAACCTTGCCCACAACACAACCGGGGGAACCCAACTACCAATCGTTGAGACAGCGACAAGCTAGCGACAGCAGGCACAGTTAATATGGACAAATAGGTAAGTGGCAAGCAGCATCCAACCATGTACACAGCCAAGCAACGGCAGCAACAATACGTACTGGCTCTTTAGGTCTGCAGCAGCCAATTATGGTCTGCGCAAACAACCTAGAACAACATTCACCACAAAGCTTTACAATGGTAAAAACAACCATTACTAGCTGACAATACTTGGCTCATACTCAGAAGAACGCCCAGAAAAGCTAGAATTAGCCAAGACTTGTGAGAACTCCATATTGCCGAGGCTGTAATGATAAGACTTCCATCTTGAGTTGATGAATGTACATCCTCATTGCTTCTACTATAAAAGTCAGAACACTCTCTTTGCATCTTTTGAATGAATATAACTGGATTATAGCTCTAATTTGTATCTGAAACCGTTCACGGTTCAAATATAAGGTAGATATGAGGTGAACACAGTCTCTCCAAATAATATTAAAAATTGAATCGTTTAATCTCTCGACCTATATTTTTTCTGGTTATAGAACAAAATAATAAATGTGATGGTAGAACAAGAGCATCTCATATGTATTATCTTTCCATTTAAAGAAAAGGCTGATGGAGAGGAAGCCTTGGAAAGGTGCAACAACAACGTTACATCCCGGATGCAAAATGAGTACCCATAAAGTTTTTCTGATTGTTTTATTATTTTCTTTCCCCTTACAATAACAAGAAGTTCCTTCACCTTCCCCTGAATAGGAAATCTGAACGGTGTAGCTAAGCTTGATCAGCGGGATAGAAGTAGAAACAAAACATACTTTTCTATCAGGTGTGTCTGAACTCTATAAGTCAACGACTGGGGCTGGGGATGAAAGCATCCTGCCTTTCCTACCTAACTAAGACTCACACTGTGTGATATTTGTGGTGACTGGTGAGCAATTACCTGTTACTCTTGAAAGTTTTCCACTTCAAAAACTCTGCGTTTCATCTTCTACTATATAATAAATTCAGTCAAATGTGTCAACAATGTCGATATGTCCGAGTGGTTAAGGAGACAGACTTGAAATCTGTTGGGCTACGCCCGCGCAGGTTTGAACCCTGCTGTCGACGTTTTGGCATGATTAATTAATCATTTTTCTGACAGGCGATAGTAATTCACTAGGATTTCTTATTTTTTATATATGACGTTTTGGCATCCTCCCAATCCTATATAGATTTTCCCCGTGAGAACATGCGCAATTGAAAAAAGCTAGCTCTCTGCGCAATCCTAGGAAGGCCTCTTTGGTCATTTTGGACCAATAATTTTTCTACCCTACAATTGCAATCTCTCTTCCGGTGCTTGAGTTTGATTCCTCTTCTATTTGAGCTCCGCTAGAATGTATTATGGGCTTGGGCGCATTGCCTTAATTTTATACTTGGACCACTTATCATACAAGCATATGTAAAAGAAATCTATAGATTAAAATCATACACAATTTTTAAAAACTAATAAATATCCAAACATAGTTAAACCAGTCGATTAACTCTTTATCACCTCACTAAAATTCACCAAACTCATCAATTTAGCTACCACGTCATTGTCAACTAACGGGATGTCGGATGCAAAGTTGACGAACGGGATGGCAGATGAAAATTTAACAATTCAGTTATTATATTGTATTTCAAAAGTTCTAACTATTATTTTGCCAAATTATAAAGGTTTGGCTACTAAATAATTTTAATCCAAATAATTTTTAAAAATTCATTCATTCTTTGTTCGTTGTATTATGATTAAAGATTTTGAATTGCCTAATCAAAATGATTGTTCAATATGAGTTGGGTGCAAAAACACCATCTAAATCTTGAATAGTACATTTTGGAGCGTTGTACTATCATCTAAACCCTAATGAGTAAAAACTATGTGCCACTTTTCTAAATCTTAGGTTTTTTGGTAGTAAATTCAAACGGTAGTTTATTTTGGTAATTTGCGAACTACGAATTTGATTTACGGTTGCGATGTATGTAGTAATGAATTTGGGTAATCTATCTTAAAAAAATCCACACAAGTCATTACTGCCACAAAACTTGAATGAAATTGTAAGTGACTAATTTGAGTGATCGCTATTGAATGAAAACATACTTGAATTACTCTTTTGAAAACTAAGTGCAAACCATTTACTTACTAATATATTGATGGGACTCCATTAACTTAGTACAACTGAACCAAAATTTTGGATCTCCTTGGTATAAATGCTAACAATTTGCTTTCTAACCGGTTGTGATGGTCAATAAATGATGATTTAATTTGTTGAATAGTCTCAATTATCTATCCGTGAATCCACCAATATTATTGGTTTAAACTCCTAACTTCCAAGATTACATGACTTCGCTCAATGAAACTGTTACATGGTTGCTTGACATATTTAAAATATGATAGTAGTTTGAGTACCTTGCTCAACTAACTATTGACAACCAATTTGAAAATTGTTCTACCTCATTCATCTGATGTGTGCAGCATGTAATTCTGAATTTATACTATGTGCACTGATCAATAACAAAGATGACTATTGAGGAAAATATTTCATGGATACTCTAAACTTCATCAAAGGAAAAAATATTTTTTTATTGCGAAGATCTCATGGAAAACAACTGTTATGTTGTTCTTTACCAACTTTTTATAGGGATAATAATTTTTTCACAAATATATAGTTGAATTAGAGAATGAATATAATGTATATATAAGACATAAGTATTCTATTTGACATGTTTTTATGCATTTTTTGGTATTCAATTTTATAACCTTATTTTTCTAAATTATTCATTGACAACCTCCCGAAGGAAACAGTCAACTGAGCATTTACAATATATAGATAAAAATGAGCTACTTGCTTATCACACTAATACCTCTAAGTTGAGTACACCTCAATTTCATTATCAAACTCTTCGGGCCAATTGAATCATACTCTCCCGCCAACGGGCGGGGCCCTGTGCTAGTGTTAATTAATCATTTTTCTGACAGGCGACAGCAATTCACTAGGATTCTTATTTTTTATATATGACGTTTTTGCATGTTAATTCATCATTTTTCTAACAGCAATTCACTAGGATTCTTATTTTTTATATATAAATTTGAAGTGAAATTACTATTGCCTAACCTATTACATTTTGATAGTCAAAATTTAATTAAATTACAGTTTAGTAAATTTAATTTTAATGTAAAGTCATTGAACAATTATGTTTTGGTATCTAAATTTTATGAGATTTTCATACTTACAATTTTTTACATTTACATATTGGTCCAATGTTTAGATTTTAATTGAATCTAGGGGTGGGTATTCGGTTATTTCGATTATAACCGGTAACCGAACGTTCGGTTATCGGTTAACCGAAAGGCCGGCCCCCCTCCAATCGACCGAATTAGGCTTCGGTTATCTCGGTTATCTCGATTATCGGTTAACCGCACCTCCTCCAGGACCAAAACCATCTCGTCCATCCTCCAATAACCGACCGAATTTCGGTTATCGGTTAGTGGATAACTGGCTAGTTATGGGTTTAACCGATCGGTTAATTGGAAATTGGTAACTGAACCTCCACCCCTACTTGAATCCATGAATCCAATTCACCAATCCTTATGAACCAATCCATGAATCCAATCCACCATAACATAAAAGTCTATATTTAGTTTATACCATACAAGATATTGTATCACTTAACTTTAGGAGAAGATTCGACCATTTTATATTTGCTCATTACGTAAAATATTTAAAAAATAATAAAAGACGATT